CCCCCCCGCCAGCTCCCACCACGGCCCAGGCGGGGGGCTTTGGACCCGGGTGTGTGTGTGTGTGTGTCTCGCGGAGCCCCTTCCAGGCCAGCCCTCTGGCCGCCGCAGCCGAGGCATTGCAGCCTCCCCCCCCCAGGGGAATGGCAAGGTGGGTGGGTGGCAATGCTCCCTCTAAGCTGTGGAGTCTCGTGAGCAGAAATTCGCCTTTGGGAGCTCCTGGCGTGCGAGGGCATTTCACTACACGGTCAGGCAAAGCAAGGGAGCTTCGCTCTCCGTAACAATGGGACCAGCGGGTCCTAGCCGGCACCTATGGGAGGCGAGGCTTCTGGCCGAGAGCCTATGGAACTCTCGGCCACTGTAAATAGCCACTCACTTGTGTGTGGGTGGGTGTGGGGAGCGGGGTTGGTGGTGCACATCTAAACCGGCCTGCGAGCTGGGGACTCTCCTCTTGTTCTGAGCTGAAATAAAGGATGAGAGCTGAACTCACTAGTAAGTCTCAGTACTTTTCATGGCCTTAAAGCTGTGAGCCAGCGGTTTGGCTGCTGCGTACATTAAGTTGGCTCTGAAGCCACATCCCTTCCTGAGCGAAGGCAAAAGTGTGTGAGCTAGAGGCTAAGAAACCATGAGCTCGCTCACACTTAACTCAGCTGAGAGGGAACCCTGGCTGCAATGCCTCCCTCTAAGCTGTGGAGTCTTGCAGCAGAAATTCTCTTTTGTGAGCTCCTGGCATTAAAGCTGTGAGCGAGCCATTTGGCTACGGCATACATTAAGTTGGCTCTGGAGCCCCATCCTTCCTGAGCGAAGAGAAAAACGCCCGAGGCAGAGGCTGAAAAACTGTGAGCTAGCTCACACTCACTTGGCTTAGAGGGAACACTGGTGGGTGGGGGTGGGCCCACAGTCCCTCCTTCTGGCCATGGGGACAGAGAGCCTGGGGAAGGGCCGGGGGCTCAGTGGGGGAGCCTCGGCTTGCAGGCAGGAGGTCCCGGGTTCATCCCCCCCCCCGCATCTCCTGGTACTCCAGGACCAGGGGTGGGGGGTGGGGGAGAGCCCTCCGCCTGAGACCCCAGAGAGCCATTGCCAGTCCCCCTAGAGTAGACAAGGCTGACTCTTCGTGGCCCTGCAAGGCGGCCTCGTGGCCCTGGGAGTGGCTAGGAAAGGGGGCTCCCCCCTCCCTCCCTCCCGGGTTCTGAAAGGTCTCCAGACACTCCCCCTCCCCTGAAATCCAGGGATGCCACCCCAACACTGCTCCCTCCAAGCGGTGGAGTCTTGTGAGCAAAAACTCTACTTTGTGGGCTGCTGGCATTAAAGTGGTGAGCGGGCGGTTTGGCTGCTGCATCCATTAGTTAGCTCTTCTGGAGCCCTCCTTCCCGAGCTAAGGCAAAAAATGCGTGAGCCGGAGGCTAAAGAACTGTGAGCGAGCTCACGCTAACTCATCTTAGAGGGAGCCCTGGCCGCCACCCACGGACGCTCTCCAGAGTCTTCCCCTGAGCCTCTCAGGAGGGCCTTCCTTCTGTTGGCCTGTGAAAATGGGTCAGAGTCCTACTTATTTTGTGATCCAATGTGGGTTTTTGAGCACCAGACCTTTCGTAGGCCACCTGCTGTTTATTGGGACTTGGTGGGTGAAGCGCGGCCTCCCTGGCGATGGGTGTCGGGCGGGAGGTTCCGGGAGGCCCCCGCTGAGCCGCTCTGGCTTTCCTCTTCCAGGCCCCGGTGACGCTGGAGGACGTGACGGTCTCCTTCTCCCTGGAAGAGTGGGCCGAGCTGGAGGAATGGCAGCGAGCCCTTCACCGGGACGTCATGCAGGAGAACTCTGAGCTGGTTGCCTCGCTGGGTAAAGGGTCCTATTGGCTTGGGTCGGGGTGGGGACAGTGGGAGGAAGGCCCTGTGTCCGCTATGCTGCCATGGGGGTAGGGGAGTTCATTCTGTGTCTTGGTAATTGCTATTGCATTCCTATCTCTGCTGTTCTGCCTGTGCTGCAACGCTTATCTCTACAGATGTGCAGGAGGATGTTGTATTGTCTGGAAGTCTCCTATGTACCGTGAGAGACTACTGCTTCCCAGCTTTTGCCACCTAACGGTTTCCTAGCTGGTCCCGCATGCAAGAGGGTAGCTAATTGGCCCATGCCATGGTGTGTGTGTGTGTGCATACGAATGCCCTATAACCTATTAGCCTCAATGGGTTGCCGCCATTCCTAACAGTGCCTGTGTTACTGCATCTATAGCTTTGCAATAAACGTATAACCGTTCCTGAATGCGGGTACTTCGTTGTGAGCTGTGGGTTCTGACACCCTGCCGGGTCCCCCTGGTCCCACGCAGGCCAGGCTGGGCGGAACATGCTGTGGACCACTGCGGGCTTTGCCCCCCCCCCAGCCCAGGGTTTTGTGCTCCGCTGCCCTTTGCTCTTCAGCCAGTGGCCCAAGATCCATCTAGGCGGGCCCTCCCATCTCCAACAGGTGTGGCGACCGGCTGGCCTCACAAAGCCCCCCTGGGAAAGTGAGGTGGGGGTGGGACATGCCGTCAAGTGGCAGCCAATGGGCAGGGGTTTCCACAGGACAGAGTCATCCAGAGGTGGGTAGCAGCCCTTGACTGCCTTGCTGGTCTCCCAGCCAAGTCCTCACCAGGACTGGTCCTGCTTAGCTTCTGAGCCCCAAATATACGAAGTCTACTAGTAGAAAACACCATCAAAGATTGCCAAAACAATATATTAAACAATTATAAAGTTGGTGGTGTCACAACAACAACATTAATGCGCACTGTAACTATAATGAGGCATAAAATAGAATATTTCCTCCTTTGAAGATAAGACATGAAGTCCATGTGGTCAGTGGAACTTGATAGGAGGAGTCCCACATTGTCATAACATTTTCCAAACAGCCTTTGCAAAGACTCCCGTTCTAGATACTTGGAAGGTGCGTTTCCTTCGGCTTCTTCAGTTTGCCGGCTGTGTAAGTGGAACCGTGAAGAGATTTTCACAAATGCCTAGCCCATAATTTGGGATTCATTTCGGATTCTGTTAAATCTTTTTAAACTGTTGAACACCCTAGGATCCCTTTGTTATGTGGCCTGCCTAAAATTCGTAAAAAAGGCCATCTGCCTCCAGTGCACCCTGTAGTATCTGCAGTTGGCTTGGTTTTAGACTTTATGTCTTATCTTCAAAGGAGGAAATATTAGTATCTTATGCTGAGGCATAGTTACAGTATGCATTAATGTTGTTGTTGTGACGACACCACCAACTTTATAATTGTTTAATGTATTTATGTAGTGGCTCAAGGGGTTAAGACGCTGAACTGCAGGCTGTGGAAGGTCGGTAGTTCAGCAGTTCGAGACCCGAGTGTGCCACATGATGGAGTGAGCTCCTGTCTCTAGTTCCAGCTCCTGCCAACCTAGCCGTTCGAAAGCAAGACATTGCAAGTAGATAAACAGGTACCGCTTCGGTGGGAAGGTAACAGCGTCCCGTGCGCCTTGGCGTCTAGTCATGCCGGCCACATGACCACGGAAACGTCTTCGGACAGCGCTGGCTCTTCGGCTTGGAAACGGAGATGAGCACCGCAACCCTAGAGTCGGACTTGACTGGCTTTTGAGCAAGGGAACCTTTACCTTTATGCGTCATTATAGCTACAGTGTGCATTAATGTTGTTGTGACACCACCAACTTTATAATTGTTTAATGTATCTTTGATGGTGTTTTCTACTAGTGGGATTTGTATATTTGGGACTCCCGTGACACTAGTCTTTCCCCCTTGTTGTTTGGATTTACAGCTTCTGGGCCCCGCCCACCCAAGTCAAGGCAGCTTATTGATTCGGTGGTGGGAAGGGACGCATGGAGCCTCCACAGGGTTTTCGAGGCAAGAGGTGTTCAGGGGTGGTGGCCTCTGCGTAGGGACCCTGGGCTCCCTGGGCGGTCTCCCATGCAAAGACCAGCCAGGGCCCGCCCTGCTTAGCTTCCCGGATCTGAGAACGTCAAGCCAGCTGAGGCTGTCCAGGCCGGGGTGGGAAAGTGAACTCGACTGCGGTGACTTTCTCTCTCTCAGAAGGTTAATGTTGTGCATCGTCTCAGGGAACTGGCTAGTTTGGAACGAGTAAACGCTAGCCTTTTGTGTGCAACAACACGCAAGGCATGCATAGCGTGAAACCCACAAGTGAGGGGCGTTCTTGGAAAGAATTAGGAGAAGCCCTGGAGGGGGGGCTGTTTAGGGGGATTTTGGCTGTTGGAGGGGAGGCGGAAGCAGGTGAGCTTCTCAGGGCGGGGGGTTGAACTCGGGGGGGGGGGTCCTCTGGGAAGAGGTGGGGTGCCCAGAAGGAAGTCTCAGTTGTAAAAAGTGCAGGATGTCTGCTTGCTACAGATCCGTTGTGACAACGTTCTCCTCTGCATTCTGAGCAGGCTGTGATATCGGAGATCTCGGAGTGAAGGAGGAGGCGGAGGAAGAGGAGGAAGAGCTGAAGGTGTTGCTGGTGGACGAGGCGGAAGAGGCGGCTCCTCCTGGCTGGAAGGCAGCTGGCGAATCCCCCCCCTGGCCATCGAGCGGGCCCAGTGGAGCCTTGTGGGGGAACCTGGGGTGGGAAGAGCTGGTGCCCCTGAGACCCAGCGGGGAGGCCCCTGGGGGCCCGTGCCCCCTCACCTGCCCCGAGTGCAGGAAGCGCTTCCAGAGCCGAGCCGCCCTCCAGACCCACTGGCGGATCCACACGGGGGAGCGGCCCTTCACCTGTGCCGAGTGTGGGCGGGGCTTCACCCAGCGGCAGCACCTGGCCTCCCACCTGCAGGTGCACGGGGGGGAGCACCCCTTCCCCTGCCCCACCTGCGGCTGCACCTTCCGCCTGCAGAGGCTGCTCCTGACCCACCAGCGGAAGGTCCACGCCGGCCAGCCCCCCTTGGCGTGCGCCGACTGCGGCAAGCTCTTCAACCACAGGCACCACCTGATGACCCACCAGCGGGTGCACACGGGCGAGCGCCCCTTCCCGTGCCCCGACTGCGGCAAGAGCTTCACCCAGAAGCACCCCCTGCAGACCCACCGGCGGAGCCACTCCGGGGACCGGCCCTTCCCCTGCGCGGCCTGCGGCAAGACCTTCAAGGACCGCACCGGCGTCCTGATGCACCAGATCGTCCACACCGGGGCCAAGCCCTTCGCCTGCCCGAGCTGCAGCAAGATCTTCAGCCACAAGCACCACCTGGTCATCCACCAGCGCGTCCACACCGGCGAGAAGCCCTTCTCCTGCACGGCCTGCGGGAAGCGCTTCACCCAGAAGCACCACCTCCTGAGCCACGAGCGCGTCCACACGGGGGAGCGCCCATACCAGTGCCAGGAGTGCCCCCGCAGCTTCAAGGACAGGATCACACTCAAGCTGCACATCCGGCTCCACACGGGCGAGAAGTCCTTCTCCTGTGCCCGCTGCGGGGAGAGCTTCCGGCTGCGGAAGGCCTTCCTCTCCCACCAGCGGGTGCATGACACCCCCGCACAGCTCATCTGCACCGAGTGTGGGGACAGCTTCCCGCGCATGCGCAGCTTGGCCAGCCACCGGCGGCGGGTGCACCCCTCGGCCCCCAAGGAGGCGGCCTCCCAGCCTGGGTCGCCCGGGGAGTCGTTCGGCATCCCCGAGTCCCAGGCCGGTGGGGAGAAGGGCCGGGCGGAGGAACTGGACCAGGGCTTGCCCCGCCCGTGCCAGGAGGGAATGGCTCAGCCTGGCAAGGTGTCCCTGCACCTCAGCACAGACTCCTGGGGTCTGCGGGCGCCTGAGAGGCAGGCGCCCTGAATCAGATCCGCCTGTGGGTGCCAAGGAAACCGCACTCTCGATGTGCGTTGGCCTTTGAAGGCGCATCGCACCCTTGTCTTCTGAACCTGAAGATTTCCGCTCTTCTGTCTCACGGTCCATTTCCATCCCATTCCATGCCCGGAGCTCAGGGCAGCATGCAGGGTTCTGCCTTTCCCTTTGATTCTCACAACAACCCAGCGAGGTAGATTCGGCCTGGAGCCCCCGAGAAAGATTTATGGGTGTTCGTAGGGAGAGCAGATGGGCTTTTGTTTGCTCTTCCTGTCTCAGATATGCATGTCTCAGGCATGAGGAGAAGAAGAGCGATTTTTTATACGCCACTTTTCTCTACCCGGAGGAGTCTCAGAGTGGTTCACAATTGCCTTTCCCTTCCTCTTCCCACAACAGGCACCTTGTTGTGAGGCAGGTGGGGCTGAGAGAGTTCTGAGAGGACCGCGACTGGCCCAAGATCATGCAGGAGACTGCACGTGGAGGAGGAGGAGGAGTGGGGAACCAAACCCGGCTCTCCAGATTCAAGTCTGCCACTCATAGCCACGACACCACCCTGGCTCTCAAGCCCAGAGGGCCTGTGGCTCCTAGCCTGTGCTCTGTGCCCATGGGGTTCCAGACTGATCCAAAGAGGCAGCTGGGTCTTGCCATCTTTTGCATTGCCAGTTTTTAAAAAAAATGTATTTGGGTTGTATTCTTATTTGTTGTAGGATGCTTTGGATCCCAGTGGGGAGAGATGGAGACAATAAAGGTACTGACTTGTGCAAAGGATATGTACTTAGTCAATAGACGGATGTGTGCCTTAGCGCAGTCTGTGAAGTGCAAAGGGCAGGTCCGTGTCGCCTGAGTTTGCCTCAGGCGAGGGGGTTTAACTCTTGCTTGGCTTTGCTAATGGGAACTGCCCTCTCCCCTTCTGCTGTTAGTGTCTGAGAGCAAAGTGGACCCTTTCAGAACGCATTTCCTTTAAAATGCTGATAGCAGAGCAGGAGAGCTCGTTTCTAGGCGTGGAACCCATCAGAGGTCGAAGGGTTAAATTCCCTCTTCCTCCCCTGCATGGTCTGGAGGCAAATTGAGACTGAAGCAGCTTGGCCGTTTGCACATTACAGACGGGACACATGGGCTGGTCTGTTTTCATCCTGAGCGGGTCTCCCTGGTTCTTCTTTCCTGGCCTTCCCCTTCATGGCAAAATCCCTGCTCTTTGGAGTCTTCTGCACCTGCAAGGTTCCAAGATTGAGACTGAAGCAGCTTGGCCGTTTGCATGGGCTGGTCTGTTTTCATCCTGAGCAGGTCTCCCTGGTTCTTCCTTCCTGGCCTCCCCCTTCACGGCAGAATCCCTGCTCTTCGGAGTCTTCTGCACCTGCAAGGTTCCAAGCAGAGCTCCCGCAGATTTTGAGGAGGGGGAAATTCCCACTCAGGCTCCTGGGTTGCTGAGGTCTCCGTGCCGGCCTGGATCCCTCCTCTCTGGGGAGGACGGGGGGGGGGGCTTGTGGGGTTCCTCCGCCCTTTCCCAAAGACGAGCAAGAAGCCAGACCTGCGTGTTTCTCTCGGTCCCCTGGCGCTGAAACGGCTCTGTTCTGGCTCTGCTCCGGCTGCTGGAGGACTTCTGCAGCTGCTGTGAGCCCTGCCTCACCAAGGTCCCGCCCCAGTCTCCCCCCACCCCCCACGCTTGTGCCCTGAAAGGCCCCGGGACACTCCGAGAGGCTGCTGCCGTGGTGCCCCCTGCCTTGCCTTGCCTGTCGTGTTCCTCCCCTGGTGGCCGAGGGGCAGACTGAAAGTCCGGGGAGGGGGGTTTGCCACCCTGCTTGTGGGCCCCCCAGTTCTCTGCCTTTCACAGTCCCGGTAGGTGGAAATGAGCAGGTGCCGCCTCCTCTGGCTGCCGGTCCGGGGAGGCCTCGGCCCTTGCAAGGGTTGTCAGCTCCAAGAAGAGAAATTCCTGGAGATTTGGGGGTGGAGCCTGGGGAGGTGGGGGGAGGGGAGGGACTTCAGTCAGGTGGAAGGCCACGGAGTCCACCCTGCAAAGCAGCTGTCTTCTCCAGGGGCACTGACCAAGGCTCCCTCTAAGCTGTGGAGTCCTGTGAGCAAAAATCCTACTTTGTGAGCCGCTGGCATGAACGTTGTGAGACAGCGATTGGGCTGCTGCATAAATGAGTTTGCTCCTGAGCCCCATCATTCCCAAGCCGAGACGAAAATGCGTGAGCTGGAGGCTAAAAAACGGTGAGCTAGCTCACACTGACTCAGCTTAGAGGGAACACTGCTTGTGAGCAATGTTCCCTCTAAGCTATGGAGTCCTGTGAACAAAAATCCTACTTTGTGAGCTACTTGCATTTAAGTTGTGAGCCAGCGATTGGGCTGCTGCATAAATTAGTTTGCTCCGGAGCCCCATCCTTCCCAAGCCGAGACGAAAATGTATGAGCCGGAGGCTAAAAAACGGTGAGCTAGCTCACACTGACTCAGCTTAGAGGGAACACTGCTTATGAGCAAAAACCCTACTTTGTGAGCTCCTGGCATGAAAGTTGTGAGCAAGTGCTTTGGCCACTGCCTAAATCACTTTGCTCTGGAGCCCTCCTTCCTGAGCGGGGGGCAGAAATGCGTGAGCCGGAGGCTAAAAAACAGTGAGCTGGCTCACACTCACTCAGCTTAGAGGGAACCCTGGCCCTGATCCCCGTTGCGTGGAGACCAGGTATGATTCCAGGAGACCTCCAGGCCCCTCGGCCTCTTCCTGCCCGAGCCCCCTCCTGCTCTCGCCACCTTGCCCGGAAGCCGTGCCCCCCCCTGCGGCGAAGAGGGAAGGAGCAGAGGCCTCTGGGCTATGATTCCAGGAGATCTCCAGGCCCCTCGGCCTCTTCCTGCCCCCTCCCCCTCCTGCTCTCTCCACCTCCCCCTGCAGCGAAGAGGGAAGGAGCAGAGGCCTCTGGGAAACGGCAGTTGGGTGGTTTTATTGAAAAGGGCCAGAGACAAACTGGGCCGTGTCGGATGCTGCCTTGAGGCAGGCGGAGGCTGGGGACGGAGAGGTCAGGTCCAAAGAGGATGCGTTCGGCACGGAGGAAGAAGCCCTTCTGGGTCTGGGCTGGACTGGCATCCTCTGCAAAGGTCCAGAAACTGCGGCGGGGGTGTGTGTGTGTCCGTCCGTCAGCGTTTGGAGAAGTCGCCACCTGAAGCGGAGACGAGGGGGAACCAGAGAGGGGAGGTGGCGGAACCAGGTGGCAGGGCTGGATGAGCCAGAGGGGAGAGGAGTCTCTGGGTGGTGAATAGCCGGTGTGGGAATGGGGGGCTTGTTCATACTCTGAACGTGGCTCATCACACCTCCCGGAAAGGCTCCCCCCCCCCCTCCACTGCACCAGGGTCTCCGCCGGCACTCCCATCCCCACTGCTTCCCTGCACCGCGACCCTGCAGGGTAGGTCACAGCAGTTTCCCTTTCACACACGGGGGGAAGAACTCCGGACTCTGCCCCGAGGAGGCCTGAGTGGAGTTGGGGGCAGGACCCCGGCCCTCCAGACCCCAGGCTCACCTTGGCAGCTGCTGCACTCGCAGCTGTGGATGACGGGCAGGACCACTGGCTCCGTCTCACCCCCTTCGCACTGCAGGTTCAGGATGCGCACCGGGCTCACCGGGTCCAGGCGGTAGCTACAGCAGTCGCACAAGGTCTGCAGGTAGGGCTCCTGCGGGGGGACGGGGCGGGACGGAGGGGTGAGGCAGGCAGGAAAGGCCCCCCCACACACACACTGTGGGTAAAGGGGATGGGCCCCCTCTTGGAGACGGGTTTGGGTGAGGCCCGGGCAGGACAGACCAAGCTGGGGGCACGGTGGCTCTCTCGCTTACCTCGGGGATGACATTGGTGTGGGAGGGGCAGCGCCCGCTGCAGTAGCTCACCTCCACCTCTGCCAGGAAGCAGGGCCCTTTGGTGATGTTGCGCAGTTCCGTGTAGTGCTGACAAAAGGACGGGGGCTCCTCTGCGGGGGGCGGGGGGAAGAGGATCATTACCATCCTGCAAGGATACCCCCACCCCACGGGCAGCTTCCAGCACCCGGACAAAGTGTGTCTCACGCTGGGTGGGGCAGAGACAACGTCTTGGGGCGAGTCTGATATTTGGCCACTGTTGGTTGTTGGGAGACCTCCAAGGTGGAAAGAAATGCGAGGGGCAGAAAAACAGGGCAAGCGGCGTGCCGGAGATCTCTCTTCTTCCTTTCCTTTGACAATGACAACCCACCTCCCCCATCCCCTCCTCCTTCAAGCTGAAAGTCTTCGGCCTCCCCTGATCTGGTTGTCCTTTGCCAAATTCGCCCCCCTCTGACTTTTGTCCGTCCTCCACAGACTTGGGGCTCATCTGCATGTACGTGTAGCCCTGATTCCCCTCCCCCCCCAAGGTGGCTTTTCCCCCAGTGAGAAAACAGCAGGGGGAGAAAAGGTTAGAATTTACTGCTCCCACCACCACCACCACCCCGCTGTTCTTCTCCTTGACAAAGCCATCCTGGAGGCTGAATTTGCAAGCCCAGAGTCTAAAACAAACTTGGGAGAAACTGCAGTGTGCAGCTGAGCCCTTGGAAGCTCTCTTTTGAGACCCAGTGCCCTGCTGGGGTGGGATGGGGTGGAGTTAGGCAGAGGTGTAAAAGCAGCCGCACAGCCTATCCTGGTGGCTCCCCGGCCGCCCACTGATTCTCACACTAGCTTACCAAGCACCTCCTTCCTGCAGACGGGGCAGCAACCGGTAGGATCCTGTACCTTGGCTTCTCCCTGTGGTGGGGATGGAGAGAGCGGAGGCTTTAATGGCAGCGCTCAAGCCAAGCTCTTGTCTCTGGTGGCCTGCCTCTGAGCATGTGCAGAGCACATCTGTGCTCACTAGCCTCCAGCCCCTCAGCTCGGCAGCAGGAGGCCCCAGTGGGGAGCTGCGACTCCTGAGCTATGCGCCCCCCCCATTCAGGAGTGTTACCTCAAGACAGGTGAGTGGAGGGCAGCCAGTCCCGCAGGTGGCCTTCCCGTTCAAGCAGCGGCAGGTTTCGCAGCCCACGTGCCACTCTTCCCCAGCCTGGGCAGGACAGAGCAAAGGGGTCAGAGGGCAGGCAGAGCAGGGTGGAGTCAGGAGGACCGAACGGGTCGTAGGAGATGCAGAGCGTGTGCCATGGCCTGCCCGGGACAAGGCAGGAGGCGAAAGGCCAAATCTCTGCTCTTGTAGAATCCCCGTTTATAATGAGGCCCGTGCAGGACAGGAGACCTTCCCCCTGGAGCGCAGAGGCTGCCTTCTCCAGCCAGAACTGCCCTGGGGAAAGTGCGGGACCCTCCAATGACCCACTGGGGCCCCTCCTGAGACAGAGAGGAGGGGGCTGCAAGACAGATGCTGTCCGCTCCTGATCTGCACTGCCTTGTCAATTACACCTGCATCTTTGGGGGGGGGGGAGGTTGAGAATTCGTCCCACCTAGTTGTGGAAGCAAGGACAAGAACTCTTTGTGGGCACTCCAATGAAATTGCTGAGCGGTCGGGTTACAACGGATAAAAGGAAGCCCTTCTTCACCCAAAGAGTGATTAACACATGGAATTCACTGCCACAGGAAGTGGTGGCGGCTATAAGCATGGACGGCCTCAGGAGGGAATTGGATAAGCATATGGAGCAGAGGTCCATCAGTGGCTATTAGTCACAAGGTATAGATAGGGACTCTGGGGCAAGGGATGCTCTGTATTCTTGGTGCTTGGGGGGGGACAGTGGGGGGGCTTCTAGTGTCCTGGTCCCACTGCTGGACCTCCCGGTGGCACCTGGTGTTTTTGGCCACTGTGTGACACAAGAGTGCTGGACCGGATGGGCCATTGGCCTGATCCAACATTGGCTTCTCTTCTGTTCTTATGTGAGTGGTCCCCCCCACCTCCCCCTTCATCCATCATGAGGTCGTGATTTGTGTCTCCTGGGGAGTGGGGACCGGAGCTGCCCCTGGGTGGCTTTTGCCCGGCACCCTCCGAGGGTTCCATTCCTTTGGGCAGGCTCCCTCCAGCCCACCGCAGCACCCTGCTGGGAAAGAGGCATTCCTTCCGAAGTGCGTCCCAGTGTGGTTCACTTCAGCGCCCGTCCGTGTGCTGGGGTCCAGGCTGCACCCCCCTCCTTCCCTGGAAAGGTGGCTGTGGATCAGGGCCGCCTGAAGAAGCTGAGGGGGGGTCTCCCGTGCAGG